CCTCTTCTCCGGGCCACATGTGCTCAGAGTGGTGTTGGTTCTAGAACACTGATTTGACCAATATATCATTTAAAGTGTGTTTTCTTTTCAGCCCATTCTGTTTTTCTAGCAGCCGCTTTCTAGATCTGCCTGCAATTTGTTCATTCCTGCACCCGTCCATTCACAGAGCGGATGCACATGGAGGCCACCGTATGCCACGCGTATTGTAGCTACTGGGAGTTGAACAGTGGACAAGGGAGCATGACTGCTACCCCCACAGAGCTCATGGCTGAGAGGTGGAGGAGGGGCGACAAGGCCTAGGAAGACCGTCCTCCAAGGAAATTGAGAGGATGTTTCATCTGTTCATTAGCATCTCTGATGCGTTACTGTGGGTCGGGCCCCACAGAGGAAGGAGGACACCAGGGACTGGTCCTGGCGTACGGGACCCTAAGGAGGGTTTCTGGGACAATCTGAGATGATAACCAAGCATCTCCCCCGCCCCCATGCAAAAATAAGAAAGAGAAAAATCCTGATGAGCAGTCATCAAGCTTCTGCTGTGTTCCAGAGGCTTCTGCTTCTGAGCGCTTTCTCCAAGTGCTCAAAAGGCTTTCACAAGTCATGCTCCCCCTTTTATAGGTGGGGAGACAGGCTAGTCCAGGCCACACAGCCAGGAAGCGGTAGTCAGACCAGTTCTGTCTGACCTCAAACTGCCCGGATAGGGAGGGGAGTTCCAAAGGGACTGAAAATTTCTAGCATTTCAGGATTCACACAGAAATCTTACAACTTGGGTTGTAAGAAATCTTAATAAAATCAAAATAAACAAGAAAGAGGAGTTTAGTGGCCCTGAGGGACCTTCTTGCTGATGGATGGTTCTTTTGCTCCGACTCAGATACCTCACGTGGGGCTGCGGGGAAGACGGTCAGGGCCAGGTGGGGTCGGCATTCGGATCGGGCTGTAAGGCTTTCTCCTGTTTCCCTGCAAGCACAGGGGGCGGTACCGGCAGATGGGGAGCGCTTGTTAGAATAGATGCTGGTTAACCCTGCTGGCCTGTCGGGGCTTGGCGGTCACCTAGGACTCGGTGGCCTTGCGCTGGGTCCCCAGTTGGCTCTGGCTGGCAACACCAGGAACTCACAGTTCAGAAAATGCTCTGTGGGTTGTCTGCGAGCTCGTCAGAACAGCAGGTCTGTCCTGGCTGGACGGCCACTTTCTGAGCTGGCAGTTTCGAGGAGATGGAGGCAGAGAGAATGAGAAGGATCCAGTAAGAACCTTGCCTGCCCTGTAAGATGAGCAGAGGTCATGAATAATGGAGAGAAAAAGAGGCCTCTGAGACCTGGGAGCCCAGCTGATTCAGGGCCCTGCCATCCTCAGGAAGGCCCCAGGCCTTGGGGACATCTTTTACTGGCCCTCAAGGCTGTGAGGCTAGGGGCATCTTTAGGCGGGAGGCCCCACCTGCTCCTGGGTGTGGGGTGGGGGGCGGGCCCTGCTGTGAGGCCAGGTGGGAAACAGATGCCAAAGGCTCAATGTCACCTGATTCTCCATGAAGGGAGCGGGTGGGTGGGGAGGGGCAGGGTAGAGGACAGCCTGTTCTCAGTCCCCATAAATAAGTCACGGGCCCAAGGAGAACCCTAGGGCAGGTACAGAGGAGGTGGTGGGCGAGAAGGTGCCAGAGAAAGGCACCAGGGACAGGAAGGGCCGAGATAAAGCGGGGAGGTTCTGCTCAGGGGCCAGCGAGGAGAGGGAAGCAGGGCAGCGCTGTGGGCGCGTGTGGGCGCTGGCCCACCCCGACGTGTGCGCGGGAGCTCGGGGGAGCGGGCCGCAGGTCCGCGGAGGTGCGCAGAGGTGGGCACGGTGAGCCAGTGAGTGCCGGGAAGGGGCAGCCGGCAGAATGATGCCCCAGAAGAAAAAGAGGAGAAAGAAAGACATCAACTTCCTGGCCCTGTATGAGGAGGAGCTGCTGAACTATGCCTCGGAGGACGACGAGGGGGAGCTGGAGCATGAGTACTACAAGGCCAGAGGTGTGCGGGGCCTGGCCTGCCGGGGGGTGGGGGTAGCGGGGGGGGGTGCACGGGCGGGGGCAGAGTGGCCCAGAGGATCCTGTCTCTTGCTCTGAGGGAGGAATTTTAGGTTCCCACCTAACCCTTTTCTCGTGGGTTATCTGTTGTGTCCGTACTACATCCTCCTGGGGTCACTGTGCCCAGGGTCACAGAGCCTTAGTGGCACAGAGTCAGCTGGACCCGCAGTGCCACACTCTCCAGGTCCTACACATCCCAGGAGCCACGTTCCAGCCTGGTCTCTGTGGTGGGGGCCACATCAGGCTGCGAAGGGGCGTGTAGGGGGAGACCTGGCCCCTCACTGTGTGCCCAGCAGGGGCTGGGGGCTGCTGCCCATGATGGCTGGTGGAAGTGGGGTCCCAGGGCTTTGCAAGGTGATACTGTGGCCCCTGTGGGGAGGGAAGTTGGTGCTTTGGACCCAGAGCCCTGTCCTTTGAGTCTCACCTTCTTCTGAGGTGTATGGGAGTTGCTTTGAAATGCTCCACCTTCTTGCCAGGTAAACCAGAGAAAGGGCGAACTGGGGTCCTGGGAGGCAGTTTTGACTTGCAGAGGGTGTTTGTTTGTTTTGATGGTTTTTTTTTAATTTGTTTGTTTCCTTTTTTGCTTTTACAATTGAAAAAATGTATTTGACTGTGAATGCTTATAGGCAGCGGGCTTTATCACTCAGAGGTCTGTTTCACTCATCAGTGCTGCCTGCCTGGTCCCTGATGGCGTTTAAATTCTCAGCGCTTCCTCTAACTGGCTTCCTGTAAGCGCCATATTCACCCACTCGTTCCCCAAATGTGAGATGGATGTCCATGGACCGGTCACCCACCTTAATTCCTGGCCACGGGGAGTTCCTTGATTAAATCTGATTTTTTGTGGTTCCATTGCTTCATGAGCGTCTGGTGAGTTGGGCTTGTTGCCTCAGCCACACTGAACTCCTTGAGGCCTCCTTTGTTTGTCCCCACACCTCACCCAGCTCCCAGCACAGACCCAGGCTCAGAGGAGGTGGCCGCCGCCGTGGCACCATGAAGGCAGTGGCTCTGCGGAGGCCCCTTTCCCAGCACGGTGTCCCGGGCGCCTCCTGGGGTGGAGGTGAGAGTGGGGGGAGGAAGGAGGGGCATTGCCACCTCTTCTCAGCACGCATGCTCCGAGCTCTGTCAGGTGGGGGAGAGACATTGAGGCTAGACGTGGGGTCAGCACCCATGACAAATACGCTCCGCTTTGGGTGATTCTCCCCAGCCCACAGGGCTGCTGGTGGAACATTCTAGAACCTCTCATAGCTGCCACCCCTTCTACCTCTGTTCATGGGCTCTGCCCGCCTCAGTGTGACTATATGTCACCATATAGTCTTCTTTGCATCCTTCTCGGAGCCTTTTCACTTCCATTCTCACTTTTAATCCTGAAGATCCCTGGGAATGGTCAAGGCAGGTGAGGTTAGTCTCAGGTGAAGGACTGAGGCTCTGGGAAGGTCACAAATAGGAGGGACAAGAGCTTCACCTGTCCGTTCCCAGCACAAGTCCCCACTTCATGTCATGATGCTGCCCATTAGCACGTTGTATGTCGGGCACCAGGCACCTCGCCGAGCACTTTACTCATATGAACCAGTTTAACCTTCACAACAACCCAATGGGTTGGGGTCTCAACATCTTCTTTCTCAGGTGAGGAAACTGAGGCACAGTGAAGTTAAGTAACGTGTGCACGATCACAAAGCTATTAACTAGCAGAGTTAGTCTGGTCTGGCTGGTCCTTGCTCTTGTACTGTCCAGTCGTAACTGTGCTAAAATTAGCTGGAGAAGAGCAAGCCGAGGTGGGCGCCAAGCTGACATTTCTAAGGGACACGGACCCACTGACTGTGCAGTCGGCTGCAGACTGGGTGGTAAATGTGGATGCTGTGGCCAGTCGCCCCATGCTGAGCTTCACTGCACCATCTCTGTTACCCTCCCAGTTCTACAACAGTGTGTCTCCCGCTCTCTCTGATCCCTGGGTTCTTGCATTACATGGAGAGTCTTGGTGAATGTGATGGGGAAGAAGAAGAGGGAAGAGGAGAAAAGTCTAGAGTTTCTTCTCTGCTCCTCAGGTCGACTCCTGGCTACACTGGAGTTCACCAACAGCCCGAGGGAGGAGAGAGGCTCTCTTGATACTCTGAGGCTAGGCTGAACCTGGGGCACTGGTCTGTCTCCTGACCAACACAAGGTCCGTGAAAGGAAGATAGTGACTCCCACCAGAATCTGGGCTCCAAAAGTACCTCGGAGGCCATCCTGCATAAGTTTCTATCCCTGGGGACCTTTGCTTTCCTACATCCCAGACAGGGCATTGTCCAGTATCTGTTGGAACACAATCTCCCAAGCCAGCTTCCTTGGGGATGTTGTCAATGGAGATGATGGCAGTGGTGATGATGATGATAATGGTGCTGATGATGACAACAGTGGAGAGGATGGTGGTGACGATGATGGTGGTGATGATGATAACAGTCCACCTCTTACGGAATGCGTGTATTTCATCCAACTGTGAGAGTGTCTGTAAGATGAATTCCCAGAAGTGGAAATGCTAAGTCAATGAGTATGAAAGTTGAAAACTTTGCTTTATTTAATTTAATCCTTAACCCATCAAGGAAGAAATTATTTCTACTTCAGCGATGAGGAAAATGAAACTCAGTAAGAAATTTAGCTGAAATCACGCAGCCAGTGATAGGAGAATTGAGATTCAAATCCTGGTCAATTTATTTCCATAGTCCATATCCATTTCATTGATTGTTTTATTCATTCATTTATTTTCTCATTCATCCATATAATTATTGAGCCTCTCCTATTTGTCATGCTCTGTGCTGGGAGCAACCCTGGTTACTGTTGACAATTCTTTGTGCTGACCAGGGGATTTTATTAGTTGGGACACTCCAAACCAAATTTTGTGTCTTCTGTGAGATATTTGTCTTCCATAAGATAGTTCTTCAGCTATCTGAACTTTTTAAGTTAAAATTTTAACATTGAGGAAATATATATATGTGTATGTGCAGCACGAAACTCATAAAGGTACAGCGTGGTGACTTTTTACATATATGCACGCTAGCATAACCACCTTTCAGAACAGGGCACAAAGCATTTCTAACCTCCAGAAAGTTCCTTCGCTCTCCTTCCCGGAGGTAATAGCTCTCCTGATTCTATCACCATGCATCAGTTTTTTTATTCTTTAACTTCATATAAATGGGCTAACGCAGTATATAGGCCTTTTTCGTGTGTCTAGCTTCTCTTTCACTCAACATTATATCTGAGAGATTTATCCATGTTGTGACGCGTTATATATTTTGTTCTTTATTTTTTTAATTTGTTACTGCTGTATTTTATAAATATATCACCATTTATTTAACCATTCTTTTGTTGATGGACTTCGGGGTTTTTTCTGGTTTTTAGCTACCATGAATAAAGCTGCTACAGATCTGTGCACATCTTTGGATGGACACACGTACTCATTTCTCCTGGATTTATAATTTATAATTAGAAGTGGAAGCGCTGTGTCACAGGGTGGGCTTGTGTCTAATTATCAGTGCTTGTACAAATTGACACTCCCACCAGCGATGTTTGCGAGCGTCAGTGGCTCCACATTCTTGCCAGTACTTAGTATTTGTCAGTCTTTTTAATTTTAGCCATCCTGGGGGTGTATAGTAGGGTCTCACTGTAATTTTAGTTTACATTTCCCTTGTGAAGAGTGATGCAGAGCCTTTTTCCATGTTTGTTGGCCATTTGGAGATCCTCTTTGATGACATGCCTATTTAAGTCTTTTGTCCATTTTGCAACTTCATTGAAATATAATCTACAAGAAAATGAATCTACTTTAAATGTGCTCTTTGATGAGTATTGCCAGATGTGTACATCTGTGTAAATACTAGCACCATGTATATAGAGAGCATTTAAATTATCCCTCAAAAGTTCCACATGAGGGGAGAGGATGGAGCACAGTGGTAGAGTGTGTACTTGGCATGCACAAGGTCCTGGGTTCAATCTCCAGTACCTCCATGAAAATAAATAAATAAACAGAATTACCTCCCCCTAAAAAAATTTTAAAAAAAAGTTCTGTTTGCTCTTTCTGAGTCAATTTCCCCTAACTCCAACCTTAGGCAACCATGTTCTGCTTTCTGTTACAGTAGATTAAATTTCATATACCTGGCATTTGTGTCTGACTTCTTTTGCTCAGCAGAATGTGCTTGAGACTTACCCATATTGTGTGTGTCATCTGTTCATTCCTTTTTGTCACCCAGCTGTATTCCATCGCATGGCTATACCACACTTCGTTTATCCATTCACCTGTTGATGGGCATTTAGGTTTTTTCCAGTTCAAGGCTATTGTGAATACAGCTTCTGTGAACATTTGTGTGCAGGTCTTTGTGTGGCTATGTTCTTCCTTCTCTTGGGTAAATACCCAAAAGTGGAATTTCTGGGTCATATGGTAAGTGTATATTTATCTTTAAAACAAATTGTTGTCCATTAAAACAACTGTGTTGTCTTTCTTTCTTAGTGGTTTGCATGGATTCTTTACATCTTCTGGGTAAGTCTTTTGTTGGATACAGGACAGGCAGACCTTGGTGATATTGTGCATTTGGTTCCAGAGCACTGAAATGAAACAAATATTGCAATAAAAAATAAAATTCAAGTCACACGAACTTTTTGGTTTCCCAGTGCCTGTAAAAATTATGTTTACCACTATACTGTAGTCTATTAAGAGTACAATAGCATTGTATCTAAAAAAAGTGTACATATCTTAATTTAAAAATACATTATTGCTAAAAAAATACTATTATCTCAGTCTTTGGCAAGTCATAATCTTCTTTTGCAATAGTAACATCAAAGATTACTGAGCATAGATCATCATAACAAATATAATAATAATGAAAAAGTTTGAAATGTGAGAATTACCCAAATCTGACACACAGACAAGAGTTAGCAAATGCTCTTGGAAAAATGTTGCTGACAGACTTGCTCGATGCAGGGTTGCCACAAACCTTCAATTCGTAAAAAACACAGCGTCTGTGAAGCACAATAAAGCACAAGATGATAAAACAAGGTATGCCTGTATGTACATTCCAAATATCTTCTAGTCTGTGGCTTGCCTTTTCATTCTCATGGTGGTCTTAATTTTAATTAAAGCCTAATTTATCATATTTTACTGGTTAGTGTCCTATTTAAGAAGTAGCCATGTACCCTTGGATCAACTATTGAGGTAGTTTCTTCATCTGTCTCCTGTACTCCAGACTTCTTTTCTCTAAACCAAGTATCTCTGTGTCTCCTCTCATGTGATGTATAATTCTAGAATTTCCACCATGCTGGTCATTTTCCTGTGGACACTTGGTTTGGAAATGTCTTTGTGTATGTGCAAACTGTATGGGCAATGCTTCATGTCCTGAAATTATCTCAGGGAGGGCTCTAGGAGTTATCTGCAGGTCAGAAAGCCCTGTGGTGTAGATGGAGAAGAATTAAGGCTTTGATTATTATGAGAGACAGGGAGTTGCACAAATGTCCTGCTTCTTTTCTCCCTCTTGAAGGGAACTTTATCAGAACCAGGGACATTAAAAAAAAAAAGACATCAAGAGCATACAGAACAAGCTTCAGAAAACAGTATGGAGATTCCTCAAAGAATTAAAAATAAACTCACCATATGACCCAGCAATCTCACTCTTGGGAATATATCTGGAGGGAATTCTAATTCAAAAAATACATGGACCTCAATATTTATAGCAACACTAATTACAATAGCGAAGACGTGGAAACAATCTAAATGTCTATCAACATATGACTGGATAAAGAAGTTGTGGTATATTTATACAGTGGAATACTACTCAGCCATAAAAAGAATAAAATAATGCCATTTACAGCAACATGGATGGACTTAGAGATTGCCATTCTAAGTGATGTAAGCCAGAAAGAGAAAGAAAAATACCATATGATACCACTCACACGTGGAA